GAGCACTACCGCATGTTTTACCATTGATACCCTATTATTGTTGCTTAGTTCTTTGTAGAATAATTTCTCAATCGGCTGATGATGGATACTCGATTGACCCGAAACATGTCCCCTTTCCATTTAGGATTTGATGATATTAAACGCACTTGGAGTATTATTATACTATGTGAACCACTTCACACTGAAAAAAAAGATGGTAGTTATTACCAAATGTTTAGTAAAATAGGCGCCAGTCACAACTTTCATCAAATAATACCACTACAAAGTTGTACTGTCCTAAACTATGAGTATTATACTATTTTGTAGTGGTAATATTTGATATAGTATAGTATTATATAATGTTGTAGTGGTATCATTTGATGAAAGTTGTGACTGGCGCCTATTTTACTAAACGTTTGGTAATAACTACCATCAGTGCACCCCACTTTGAGACAGCATGAACTTCTACAGTAGGTTATTTATATACAGGGTGATATCTTTTATTTTCATTTCCATATCACCACTTTTCTTAAATGTAAAAACTTCACAAACGATAAAATTTCCACAAAATTTTTAAACACACGACATGTTTCGCTAACACAGTAGCTTCGTCAGGTGATATACTGGTACAATGAACTAAACTATATAACTAAACTTTCGAGTTTGTATACCCCTGAATTTTCGAATTTAGAAGTTTTGTCTTTATTATTCTTGATAAACCGTCCCAACGTGTTATTTGTTCTATATGCCACTTTTAAGTCCTGTTTATGTAAAAATGAAGCTAATTTCATATGAACTCCTCAACACTAATTTCGTCGCACACCAAAATGTCGCCCCTGTTATAATGTGAATAACTTTTTTCAGTTTCGAACAATTTGAATTTGGTTCACACTGTTCGATAGCCCAGTCATTCAGCTATAATCTGGTACTTCATTGAAACATACGGTATCCACATGAAATCTCTACATGGTGTTTTCCGACACTGTGCAAAATTTCGGAATATTCAAAAGGCTCTCAAATGGTGAGATTTTCAGTCACTCATTGTGATTCTTGTAACGTTGGTTACGGCGGGCCATGCATTACAGAGGAGAAATGATCTAATGTTTTTGCAAGAACATGTTTCAATTGTATTTTCCCACGCACAATTCTTGACTACTGAGAGCGAGGAAAATATGGACGCATCCAGAATGAATTGTTTTTTCGAGAACAAGTTGATTTTCATTCAATTCTCCTCCCAACCAAGATTCGAAGGGCGTTCCAGATTTGGGTCACTTTCAAGAAAACTCTAGATCTTTGATAGCCATCTTGAGTCAATTCTGATATTCAGATCTCTTCATCTGAAGTTTTATCTTCAAAATGAGCCTGAGATTTCCAAAATCGGTTGACGTGGAAAAAAGTTATGGCTGCAAAACCAAAAAGTTGATTTTTTGAGATCACTCAGTAAATAACAGAGATAGGAAGTTGATTCGCGAAATATCTCGAGGTAATGAGATCATCTTCATGCCTCTGTGGTCGAAGTTGAGAAAAAAATTTTTTCACCATTTGAGAGCCTTTTGAATATTCCGAAATTTCGCACAGTGTCGGAAAACACCATGTAAAGATTTTATGTGAATACCCTTATGTTTCAATGGAGTACCATATTATAGCTGAAGGACTGGGCTATCGAACAGTGTGAACCAAATTCGAATTGTTCTAAACTGAAAAAAGTTATTCACATTATAGCATGGGCGACATTTTGGTGTGCGACGAAATTAGTGTTGAGTAGTTTATTTCAATAAAATGCAATTTAACAGCCAATTAATAAATGGATATCAAATTGTGATACATAGTTGAATAGAGAACTTTAAGGCGCATAAGATAAACAGAAGAAATATACAGTGTGCTATATGGAAAAAAAAGTTGGGTCTACTTCCAATCAAACAGGTGTTTAAAAAAAAATGTCATTGGGTTCAAGGAAAGCGACATCATCGATTATAATATAACCCTTGTGAATGTCAAATTTTTATCTCTTCAAATCAAAAAACTACAGGCTGTTACATGTCTCCTGTAACACCCGGTATACAGACCAGCAACTGTGAGTATTTCCAGCTCTCTCAATGAGTTTTTCTGTAGAAGTAGAATGCTGAGGAAGATGGCTAGGTTTAAACTATACAAAAATAAAAATCAGTGGAAGTGGGAGTGGAATATTTAAAAGAATAAAAAAATCACTTTCATTTTCAAGCAGCTCGCACTTCATCGAGAACGTTAATTGTTGCATTATAATCCCTCTATATAAATACCGATAAAAATTTTATTTCTATGAACTGTAGATACTTTAAACCATGTCTGAGATTCTGATAAGTTCTCATAGATGCACTTGAAAACGATAAGATATTTTTAACAGCGCCTGTACAAAGTACAAAAGGGTTATACATTGTTGTGTTCGAAATAATATGAGGCATTCATAAGTTTATAGGATCGATTAAAAAATGTTACCCTACATCCCAACTTCATACAGAGTATAGAGACTTTATAAAGTAGGCTCACGAAAACGAGAAAGACTTAAATATAAAAATAGGAAAAAAGGATTGTTGAATCAAGCAAAGCTTAATTGAATGAAGCAAGTATAAGTGTCATATATGCAGGACAAAATATAATCTTGAAATGAGTAAATCTCTATCTTGTTTCAGAGCAATTTTGAAATTTGAATCAAGTAAATATTTCTTGCATGAACTCTGGATCTTAATCAATCAAGCACATTCATGAATTGTTTATGAATCATATCACAATCACCTTTTCAGTAATGTATGTAGTATACATGGTCATGGTACCTTTTTATTCAGTGTGTTTCGTTTTCGTTAGACCACTCTGTATACTTTCATTTTCTTTTCACCTATTTTTTTCATCAGTTGATGGTGGTATGGAAAGGAGATCAGTCTAAAAATTGGTAGTATGACTCTTTTTCAAGCTGAAAAACAATCAGTTTTTCAGAATGTTCCAGCCAAAATTTTCATCTTTTCATTAAAAATGTATAGTGTATGAAATCATTCTAGTTCTATATAGGGTGAGTCAAAAATGTGAACCGAGCTTCCTGGAGGTGATATTACATTCAAAAATGAGTATAGTTTGATGAATATACTATAATGGCCCAAAATGTATATTGAGGGTTATGATTTCTTGAAAATAACTCTTTTCCTCGTATTCTTTCTGGTGAAAAGATAGAAGCATTCGATAGTCTGAAAAAAATCACATAAAAACGGAACACTTATATGAATTCGAGATATTCGAGTTCTTGTAGTTACCTGATGATGATTTCATCAGTTATAATATTTCGATTTTCTTGGCCAGACACCATCTCTATTTCTCATTTTATAACATTCTTTTTCACGCAATCTTTGCACAATCTCAAAATTGTTCTAGAATCTGGAAAAAGATTTCAGTTGAATATCGCAACAATATTATTTACTAAGAAAAAAACTGAACATGGAAATTGACAAAAACAATGTGCATGTCGTGAACGTCAAAATTGAAAATGAAATTGATCATGGCCTGCAAAAATATTGTTACCGATGTGATATCATGTGACTACAAAAATTCAAATATCTCGAAAAAGAGTACCAGTTTTATGCATTATTTTTGGCTCTATCAAATGTTTCTGTTTTTTCGCCAAAAAGAATACGAGTAAAAAAGTTGACTTCAAAAAATCTTGTCTCACCGTCTAATAAAACACCCTTTATATAACAATATGAGAAATGTACTTGTGTATCAGAAAAATATATTTCATCAACATAGGTACATTTAAACAGGAAAATTCAATCTGGTGGTTTTCACCGTGTAGAAGTTATGCGGGGAAATTATTTCAATTTTATCGACTTTGGAAAGATATATCTCCCTCAATATACATTTAGGGTCATTAGTTTATACATCAAACTATACTTATTTTTCAGTGTACTATCACCTCCAGAAGGCTCAGCATACATTTTCGACTCACCCTGTATATACCATGAACAGGTTTTCAATCAAAGCAACTTAGAAGAGCAAGAAAATATACTAGGTTGGAAATAGGTACTGAAATAAATTTTGAAGCTGAAGAGGGCTAGATATATCTAGTTCTTACCTAAACTAGAAACAATCCCTAGAAAAATTAGTGAATCTGTATTCCGTAATAGGGTATAGCTCATGTATAGCTGATTATTTGAAAACCTTTCATCTTATTATGTAAAATTTTGGTGGTCGTTTTTCCCAAATATTTCTTGGCCTATAACCTGAAACTCATGAACGATGCCTAGCCTATTAACGGGAAAACTCGACATGACTCATCAGTGACATCACCATTTCCACGAATCCTGCAGCTTAGGCAACAGGCTACCGACTCACGTAGCGGCGCATTGCTGGTTGACTACGTTTTATCGTCTAGGCGCAAGAGCTCCAATTTCTAGACAGACGGGACTTTCAATCCCAGCGAAATTGAAAATAATTAATGTTCAATAGTGTCAGTAGTGGAATAACAATGACATAATATAATAATTTGCGAAGCAGAGTGACCGCAGTTGATAAATATGATCCTTGTTTGTGAAAGTATCACGCGAATTATTTAGTGACGGTGGAATTGCCATCCTATACCATTCTGACACAAAAATAACTATTGAAACTTGACCACAAATGAAACAGTAGTTATGTAAAGCTCAAATATGTAAGTTGTATGTACGTTTGCAATAATTGATTCACTCAGACATACCCACCTACTCCAAAAAATAGTTATCGATATTTTCATTCTAAATTGGGATTCGAGGAATCCAGCTACTTGTTGCTCATTGCTTTGAATCGGTGCTATATTTGGGCGTACCTATAGCTACATTCCTGTTTTTGTGATCTCAAGATAACTGTGTAGAAATCGAAAGGACATTAAAAATGAGCCATATTTTTGCTTCAAGAAATCGTTTCCGAAAATAACAGTGCATTGGATTCGATTTTCGTCCCGATTTCATTTCAAGCGCGACCGGCTCCCTCTGGCGGACAATCTAGAAAGACCGAACGAAATACGTAGTTGAAAGTGGACGTGTGTGGAACAGCATGAATATTAAATACGTCAAATAAGGAGTAAAACCCAAGTAAAAAGTGTAAAGTGCTATAAAAATTCATGTGCGGGATGAGTGGTAACGTGTGTATGTGTGAATAATGCCTTTAGTAAACTCTAGGACTTGGAAATAGTTTTGTAAACAAACTGTGTTTCGTGTAATCAAAATGGCTGGACTTTGAAGATCTCATTCTTTGTCCGTATGTCAGTATGAAAGTTGAGCTCATTGCCCAAGATAAGAGGATAGAGAGGTAAGAAATGTCTCCTCAAATTGCCCCTAACGTGTCGTTCCTATCGTGGGGCCCCAATTTTGGGAAATATGGTGCAACGCCGACCATCTTGTTGGGATCGTCTACTACGAGGTCTACTCCCAATCCAAAACGAACAGTCGGCCCTGGATTTAGGTGGCCTCGTCTGTTACCATTACCCCGATTACGTTTTCTTTTTTATTTTTATCTTTCATTGTATGTTCAAGCTGTTCAATTCTGCAATTACTGTGATCGAGATTCACATTGTTGTTAGTTTTAATAATGTTGTATCAGCTAAAAACTATTCTTCTGATCTGAGGTCAAAGCTCTGGTCATTGGTACCTATGGTATGTTTATTAACGAAAATAATAACATCAGCATCTGAATTGCAAAAATAATGTGTTCTACTTCATAGGAAACATTTGGAAAGTTTTCCAAAATGTTGGGTAACTAACTAACTACCTACCTACTTATACCTAGTCCAATTTTATTTGCTTTTGTCAACATCAGTAACATCACCTCATTAATGAGTTTATTACACATTGATAATGTATTTGATGATATTTTCATCAGTATGTTTTTTGTGATGCCTAGTTTTTTCTATACCTAGGTATCACTAGAGGTATCATTAACATTGAATGCAAACTGGTCTTCTATACCTACCTATTAGGCATAGTCTCAACTTACCAAGAGGTAAGTACAAAGTAGGTATACCTACCTACTTTCTCAAATCTTGGCTGGTAGGTCTTAATTCCATGTCCATGTATTCTTCAATCTCTATTCACATTTGGATTAGTATCAGAGGATATCATATTTTTTGATTACATCACAAATATATCTACACAACACACAACCAAAAAATTCCCCATTGTTGCATCATTATGTGTATTTTACTTTTTGAAGCATTCATTGGAGCAAAGTAGTTAAATAAACATAACTTGTTGTGCAGTGTGTATCAAAGTTATTCCCTAGCTTGGATTTCCATTCCCCTATATGTAGGTATTATACCAATATTATCTGTCAGCAAATCTGATAGCAGTGAAAAGACTATATTACTTATGGATGTTTATCTAGATATAAAATAATTAAGGTTTATTTCTAGTTGATTATTATTACTGCTCCTGAGGCACGTGGAGTTAGTAACAAAATCTACATAGAACACATTATTCCCAGCATTATTCTCTATGCACACATACCAACAAAGTACTTATTTTATTACAACATATTGCAGTCATACTGTCTCAAATGAAATTACCAGTTCAAATTATATTTTTAATTTCCTCTTTTTCTTCTTCTAGGGAATACATGACATGTTCATCCACTCCCATAATTTGGTCACAGATAACAATAGCACTGGGACACTCCAATATAAAAAACACAAAGCTGACAATTTCAGTTCCAGTGCCAACACAGATCTTTCAATAGTAGAGCAAGTGTTCTCTTTGAATGGAAATAATTTTGGCACTTCAAACGACAATGTCAGCCATAGTAGCCCTTCTGGGGGTAATCAGCAGCCCTATGTTCGTGCCTCCACTATCAAGCTTCTAGATACCTATCAGCGTTGTGGCCAAAAGGTAAGGGAGTGTATTGAAAGTTGACTACTGTTGACTTGCTACTGTTTATTTCCACAATTCAATTTGGTCATTTCCTTTAAATATTCCAGATCTGATTTATGAATGATAGTGAAATGAATTATTCATGATTTCATGGCATTCTCTGGAATTATTGAAATGATTTAGAATTCCTTGATTAATTTGAGTTTGGTTTGGAATAACTGACAGCTAATTTTCAGTTGCCTACTTGGAATTACCCCCTTGAGCTAGCAGAACCACTTGAGGTTTTTAAATTTCTTTCTTCAGCCATAATATAAGGCTAATTGCTGAATTTATTACTTTTCATGCAAAAAAATGTGGGTTCTACTAACTTAACTTTGAGGTAGTAGAACCACTTCATAAATAAAAGTTCTATCACCAAACTAATTATACCATAATTTAAGGCTAATTGAAAGCTCTAATTCTAGCCTATTTCCAATTTTTTGGCACATTGTTTTTTCTCTGAAAATCATGGGTTTGGCTAGATTAACCATTAAGCTAGGAAAACCAAATCTCAAATAGAAGTAATGTTAGGATACTGAGTACACAATAATTTGAGGTTATTATAAGGCTCTTTCTTGAGCCTTTCACGATTTTTTTGCAAAAATTTTGCAGAAAATGTGTAATAAAAAATCAATGATAGGTGTTGAGCCTATCATCTATTTAAAAATATCCTCAAATTATGGTATGATGACTTTGATGATTGAACATTATTTTGATTTGCTATTGGTTTTCCATGTTCATGATGATTGGAGAAAATGATTAACAAAGAAATCCATAATAGGTTCAATAAAGAGCCTTAAAATAGCCTCAAATTATGGTGTACTCAATATCCTTCTGTTCCTTCTATTTGAGATTTGGTTCTGCTATCTCAATGGTTGCAAAACCCTTTTATTTTGAAACAAGGTGCGAAAAATCAGCAATAGGCAAGGATTAGAGCCTTAAATTATTGCATAATTAGTTTTATGATTGAACAATATTTTGATTTGCTAATGGTTTGTCATGTTCATGTTGGATTTAATCTCTGGTTCAACAAAGACCCTTAAATTAGCCTTAAATTTTGGTGGATTTGGGACATTTTTTGCAGAAAATAAAAAATTGAAGTAAATCAGCCTTGAATTAGCTTTAAATTATGGCAGAAGAAACAATTGAGAAATCTAAAGTGGTTCTGCTATCTTAATGGGGGTTTGAAAGTTGACTTCATTGTAAAGGTTTATTTTCCCAATAAAATTTGGTCATTTGCCTAAAATATTCCAGATCTGATGTGAAAGGAGTTATTCAGAATTTCTGGGTATTCTTTGGAATTATTGAAATAATTCAGAATTCCTTGATTAATTTGAGTTTGGTTTGAGATAAGTGACAGCTAATTTTCAGTTAATTACTTGGAATTCCTTGGCATTTTCTGAAATACCTTAAAATTTTATATTTTTCTCAGTTCTTCAAAATCCGTTTGAACTCCTCATTAGTCTTTGAGATCCTTGAATTTCTTTGGAATTTCTTGGATTCCTAGGAAATTGCTTATACTTTTGGTGTTTTGTAGAACTCCTGGAATAATTTAGAAATTATTTGGCATTCCTTTCAATTTGATATTCTTTGAAATTCCTGGAATTGGGATTCATTGAAGATTGAACTGTTTATTATTCCTGAAATTTTTTGAATTTTTTGTAACTAATTTTAATTGGAATTGCCTGTTGAATGATAAATAAATGAATTTGTTGCTTAATCAATGCTTGGTTCCAGAGAAATCCTTGGGTAATTTTCAATTTAATGGAATTCTTCAGAATTCCTAAAATAGATTTACTTATGTCTAATGTTTTTTTGCTATGAATTGTAATATGTGTAAGTGTCTATTGGATTTATTCTCAGTTTCTTGGAATATTTGGAATTACTAAAATAATTTGGAATTCTTTGGTAAATTTAAGTTCTGTTTGAAATATCTGACCTCTGCTGATTTTTAATTGCTTTGAAATCCTTGTCATTCTCCATTCAAACATTTTTTTAAAAGCTCCCTGTATTTTAAATTTCTGGGGAGTTCCTTAGGAATTTTTTTAAGTTTTGTGTAACACCTGGAATCATTTAAAAATTATTTCAAACTTAACATTCATTAGAATTTGTGGAATTATTTGGGTTTCATTGAAAATTTGGAATTCCTTGGAAGCATTGACATTTTTGGAATTATTTCTTGTTTAATTAATAATTGGCTCAAGAAAAAAACCTTGAGTGGGCATCTTTTATTCTCTTGGAGTTCCTTTGAATTCATCAGATTCCTTTGAAAATGTTTTTTTCTCTGCCTAGGCAGGAGAAGTTTGTTGCTATGCAACATTCCAAGTAATTTGAATGAAATTGGTAATCAAAATTGACATTGACATTGAGTGATCACAAAATGATGGAGTTTTCAATATAAAAATCACACAAAATTGGTTCTATAACATTTGGAGAAAAAAGTACATTGTTTTATTTGCGAGTCTAACAGAGTCACTTTTGATTTAAATGAAACATGCTTTTTTTCTGCAATTGCAATGATATCTAATTAATAAAATATATGTGATCTTATTGTTTGTGAAGTTTAAACATTTACCATGGATTTCCATCAAGTAATGGTCAATTCAAAATATATAAGTGAAGTTACCACTATTTTGAGTCACTTGAGATTGTCCGTGTCAAAGCAGCTAACATATCAGCTGTCATCCAACACGTTTTTAGTTCCTAGGAGTTAAATTTCAACTTTAGCTCCTAGACACTCAAATTGTTGCCTAGTTACATACATACTAATCATTTTATTGTGTCGGCAAGAGAAACGTCAACTTCAAGAGCTAATTTTGGAACAAAACTGGACGATTTTTGAGACGATTGCAGAAAATATTATATGTTTCACACGGCAGCAAATGTATAGATTGACTGCTGCGGCTGAATTCCTAGCCCCGCTTCGATCGGCTATGAACTATCAGCAGCGGCAGTCAATCTACTCTTTGCTGCTGGTAAAACAAATACCTATCTATTTTCTCCAAGCAGCATAGAACATGGTTTTTCTCTGACACTTGTACTTTCTCCTAGACTTTCTCTCTTTCTCTACCAAGGCAGGAAAATTTTGTTTGTTGCTATGCAATGTTCCAAGTAATTTGAATGAAATTGGCGAGGGGTAAATCACGTGGGAAGTCCAGTGTACCCGAGACGGAATTCCTCAGGTCCTTGGTAAGTCCGGGAATTCTTTGGGTAGTCCAAGTAGTCTTTGGGAAGCCTGGGGATTCTTTGGGAAGTCCGGGGTTCTTTGGGAAGTCCGGAGATTCTTTGGGTTGTCCCAGGAAATCCTTGGGGAGTCCCAGGAATTTTTCGGGAAGTCCGGTAATTCCTTGGGAAGTCCGGGAATTCTTTGGGGAGCTCGGGGATTCTTTGGAAAGTCCGGGGTTTCTTTGGGAAGTCCGGGATTCTTTGGGAAGTCCGGGAATTACTTGGGTAGTCCAGGTAGTCCTTGGAAATTCCGGGTATACTTTAGGAAGTCCGGAAATTCTTTGGGTAGTCTCAGGAATTCCTTGGGTAGTCCCAGGTAATCCGGGAATTGTTTCGATAAAGGAAGTCTAGTGTTCCCGAAATTGGCCGTGATTAACCCCTCGGAAATTGGTTATTCAAAATTGACAGTCTACCTACTACTTTGCTGCCTAGTAAAACAAATAACTATCTTAGTACTGAATGTTTCCTCCTTCCCATTTGGGTACTAGTAAGTTGGTTTCATTGAGTTATTCATTTTTTAAAAACTAAATATTTCATGCCATTTCACATTATGCATAGATATAGCACAGTTCAAAATATCACAAGTTTTGTAATTCAAATTCCATTTGCTTTGATCCGAGGGGTAAATCTCCTTGGAAGTCTGGTGTACACTCCGTTGGAAGTCTTTGGAATTCCTTGGAAGTTTTTGAATGTCTTTGGAAGTCTTTGGAAGTCTTTGGAAGTCTTTGGATGTCTTTGGATGTCTTTGGTGTCTTTGGAAGTCTTTAGAAGTCTTTGGGAGACTTTGGAAGTCTTTGGGAGTCTTTGGGAGTCTTTGGAAGTCTTTGGATGTCTTTGGGAGACTTTGGAAGTCTTTGGGAGTCTTTGGATGTCTTTGGAAGTCTTTGGATGTCTTTGGAAATCTTTGGATGTTTTTGGATGTCTTGGGAAGTCTTTAGAAGTCTTTAGAAGTCTTTGGGAGACTTTGGAAGTCTTTGGGAGTCTTTGGAAGTCTTTGGTAATTGGAAGTCTGGTGTACACATTTTTCCTGGAGATTTACCCCTCGCTTTGATCATTCTGGAATAGATTTTATTTTTTAGGTCAAATTTCAGAAATACAATTCATAGTTTATGAACTTCGTATTCGTATTTGGTATTTTGGAATTATAACTTCTCATTGTAGGCTATATTAATTTTTGAGGACTTTACTACCATGTATCTCAAAAGTTAGGACGTGTAGGTCATACGTTCATATGAAACTTTCTTCATAGAATGGGCCCAAGAATCGCCTCCTCGAATATTGACATTCAATTATGAAACACCTTGTATATTTTTCCTTCCTACTATGTATCCACTGTACCTACATTATAATTACTCTATCTTAAAAGATTATTCAACTGTGTGTACATGGTGAAAATCCTTACAAGTTCTGTCTGAGTACTAGCTAATCCTATTTATGGGGTGAAAAAATATCAAGCAAGGTCAGTTCTACGGTCTATTACACATTAACATTCATCATATACAGGGTGGGCCACCAGTAACGCCTCGGTCTCTAGAAGGCTAACCACTTATCTTCTTGGAATTCTTCCTCTCTAGGAAGTTGCATGTCAACATAGGCTACCATTTGAAATTATTTTGAAACATACAGGGTGTCCCCAAAAACCATAACACACTGAAGTTGAACTTTTTTCAATCGAACACCCTATATATTATTTCATTTTGATATTCTCCCTGGTGAGCTGATTTTAACAATCCATCATACTTGGGGTCTAGCAG